GCGTGCGTGCGTGCGTGCGTGCGTGCGTGCGTGCGTGCGTGCGTGTGTGTGCGCGTGTGCGCGCACGTTTACGCAATTAAACCGATGAGTTCAACTTTAGCCCGCTGGCACGCGTCTCCTGTCTAACAGCAATTCCCATGATAATTAGGAATAATGATCAGAAATAGACAGACGTATACAGCCAGGGGCGTAGCCAGTATGTAGCACTGTAGGCCCGGGCCTACACTTTTTTTTGCCAAGTTATCTTTTTTTTTTTAAACACCCATAATTCAAATCCATAAGCTTGCTGGACGAGTTTAAGAGTCTAGACAGGAAAAACTATTGAAATGAACGTAGCAAGAATATGGTTAAATTAGGTGACCTATTCTTCTGTCATCTAGGCTGTCATTTCTATCGCGTGCCGTTTCATTCAACACTCTACCCGCCGAAAAAGACTAGGATCCGATCTTGTCAGTTTTTTAACATTTAACTCGTTCGTAACACTATTTTAACTCGTTTGTTTTTTGGGTTTAAAAGTGATATTGAATGAGGTGTCTCAAGTTAGCAAGAGGCCAGGGAACCAGAATGAACACTCGGGAAGGGCCGTTTTCGGCCATCTGGGGGGTTTGTATAAAACCAAAATTTTTCTTGTACGCTCCGCGCCAACCGATGGTGGCGCTCCGCTCAGATACTCGTGCCTACAACTTTTAAAATCCTGGCTACGCCCCTGACAGCACGTACTGCTCTAAACGAACGGACCGTAATAAGTACATCATCAACTTTTCATACCACCGCACGTCATTTCTACGCGTACGCGTGTTTACACGCACGCGCGCTAGTGTAGTTTTGCGTGTAGCACCAAGCAGGGACTTGCGTAATAGCAGACGGATCGTGTTCTACCTTCAGGCTTCATAACGGCGTCACGGACGGACACACAGTCGATGGGCGGACACTTCATCGTCCAGAGCGACTACCGCGGCACGGGCGTCGGCGACGAGCTGTTCCGCCGACGGGGCGAGTTCATCGGCGACCGCAACTTCGGCGTCAACTCCGTCATGTACCGCGTCAACGCCAACCGCCGTCTCGGCTTTACCGTGTCGTCGTTCACGGTCAACCTCATGGAGCATCATGTCGACCACGCCAAGATGGCGACCCGACCGCCGCTGCCCTCCTGCTCGGCGACGATCCAGCCGTACACGGACGACATGTACGATGACGTCAGCGCTTACGACGCTCAAATAGCCGGTCATCCGCGCGACGGCTTTCTGAAGCCGTACCTGGCCGCGCACGTCAATCGAAGCTACGTCGCCATCGAGGGTCAGTCTAAGATAGTCGGCTATACGACCATCACGCCTATGACGGGCTTGTTCAGTTTCGGTTTATTCCCGCTATACGGCGACGACGCCGCTATACAGAGCAAACTTCTGCGTACGATCGTGGCAGACCTGCCAGATGGCGCCGCCGTCGTTGCCGGTGGAGCGGCGACGAACAACAGGGCGTTTGAGATGTACACGGCACATGGATGGATCGTAGAGATGCAGGCGCTGCGAATCTACACGAAACACGATCGCGATTTTCCGCTGAAGAAAGTCGGCTCGGTTCTCCATCTCGATGTATGCGGAATATGAGTGACGAGCGCTTCAGCCAGCGCTGTACGTTCTTCTCGTGCTCAAAGCACGATAAAGGGAACCGGCTTTCATGACAAGCACTTTTACTTTTACTATTTACGGTGACGTAATCACTTTAATGGCTTGCCAAAAATTAAGAGCATTGTAAACTTATTTTATGATGATATGCTTATAGACTGCTTATTTTATGATGATATCAGGCCTGATGATATGCTTATAACTGATGCTTTTGACTTTTATGCTGATATGCTTATGACTTTATGATGATATGCTTATAGACTGCTTATTTTATGATGATATGCTTATGATGAACATTCGCTTATAGACCGTGAATAATATTTTAGTCAATCGTGTATAGCTATATTGCAGCTCCATCAGTTAATCAAGTAAACGAATATGAATTGCATACGTGAGCGTATCGGGGAAAACCCGTGCATAGTATATATGCGTTGCGTTCTCCGTGGATGTGTGTATTACGTGCGTGTTGTTTATGGAGGCTTCACCGTCATTTATTTGTAAAATATTGCCGACTAAAGTGAATACTGATGGCTTCAAATTCGTAATTGTTTGTGATTCGATATATCGAAAGATGTGTGCAGCTACATATAATTACACGCGTCTTTATTTATGCTACTAGTCACTATACGTGAAAGGCAAGTGTTGGCTAGTCGTAGATCTAGTGTTTAAAAATATGTAAACATAATATTAGAAAAAAATCAGAAATCTGAACAAACAAAATGCCTGGGGCATGGGCTCGACACTAGAGCAAGAAACCTTTTTTTCAAGCACACATGCGAAATCACAGCGTCACGTAAATTACCTTATTTTAGCTAACAATTAATTCCTTTTACTAGTCCAATTACTGCAGGAACGCTTATATTTATCACGTTATGACATAGTGGTTATTTCTTATCGTGTCCAGTCACTAAATTTCTGTTAACCATCAACACGAGCAGACACTGTGAATTTCGTACAGTTATGTTCATGTGCCAACTTCCCGCCTCTAAACAATGGTGACGGCAACAGCCGATTTTCGCTGTGTCATATCGATCGCAGCGTACGTTTGTCATGTTACTGCATCTACAAATACTCGCGCGCACACACGGTTACCGTGTACAGCCATGCATGCAACCCCTGGCAGTTTTCTGATTGATCACTCTAATAAAAGATTGGGCTAGATCCTAGCTGACACTGCAGTGAAAAGACTCGCAGGCAAATTTTTTCACCAGCACGCCATCAACCGTGCGGCGATTAAATAATCGTAGAACACTAGATTCTACAGCGCAGGGGCGGATGCATGGCTGGAGCTAGACAGTATTTTTCCAGATTTTAAGCGCACATCCCCCAAAGAGGGCACACCACCCCACAGTGGGCGCCGTTAGGCGCAGAAGCACATGGCGGGGGGGGCCTCCCCGAGGAAATTTCAAAATTTCAAGGGTCCCTGGGCACAAAAATGAGCACCATTTGAGCACACATTTAGTCAAGCAGAAATAGCTAAAAACCATATAGAATTTTATTTCTGCTTCATTTTGCCTGCGCTTTGCATACCAGCAATTAATGCAGAATGATTCAAGCACTTCCCTTCTTTTTCAGATATCAAAGCTAGTTTTGTTACCATGTAAAATTTTGATTTCCTTCAAGTCCTGTCAATGAATCAGAAGAAAAAGAAAACAAATAAAGAATATAGCCAAATTCCATCAAATTGTTTTCTGTATTTCTTAGCGCAAAATTTCGAAGGGCACTTTGAAATCTAGACCTTCCCAATACGGCAAATACGGTCTGAATCCGCCCCTGAGCGGGCACCGTTATTTTTGCGCGCGCGACGAGGAAATTGTGCGAAACACTGCTGCTCCTTTAATTATAAACCGATGACCAGAAATGTCACAAGGCAGCTTACCCACAAATTCGATTATCACGGGTCTCAAGTTCATATTGGGGTCTACCGTCTAGCATAATTACACATTATGCATTTCGCCAGAGACGGGGGATAATTGACAGGAACACTTCGTGTGCGTTGTTAACTCCCAACGTTATTATTTTCTCGCGTGTTTTCCCTTCCTCTCGCTCCTGCTCTCTCTCTCTCTCCCTCTCTCTCTCTTGCTCCTGCGCGCTCTCTCTCTCTCTCTCGCGCGCGCGCGCCTGCTCTCTCTCTCTCTCTCGCTCCTGCTCTCTCTCTCTCGCGCGCCTGCTCTCTCTCTCTCTCTCTCGCGCGCGCGCCTGCTCTTACTTTCTCTCACGCGCGCGCGCGCCTGCTCTTACTCTCTCTCTCTCGCGCGCGCGCGCCTGCTCTCTCTCTCTCTCTTCTTGCTCGCTTTCTATTTAGCACTCGCTCCCTCCCCTCTCGCTGTAGCGTACACGCTCTCGGTCTATCACATTCGCTCGATCATTCGCACTCTCCCCTCTCTAGCTATCGTTCGCTCCCGAACTGTTCAACGCAGACGCGCTCTGTCGGGCACTATAGCCTCCCTCTCTCGCTCAATTGAGTCACGTATCGAGTAACATCGTTAGCACACTGATTACAGCAAATAGGCAGACTACCTGTAAGTTACATGTGCACGTTGACAGTGTCATTGTTAGAATTATTTATTAGCTACTTATTACGTTTTCTTTGTTTTACTTTTAATGTGTTAGTAACACCTTTGCTGATGAAAGATTACAAAGATGCAGTGTAGCTAATAGTATGTCGGCAAGAAAATTACCAAATGAACTTTTTAGGATGAGGATGTTTATTGTACATAAAAATATATTCAAAGCCAATTGTATGAAAGAATATTTGTCACATTTAATACCATGATTCAAAATTATTATTATACATACATTGATTCATATCATTGCTGATTGAAGTCATAGCGAGACCTATTCATTCAAATTACTATGTACAACGAGTTCGACAGCGTTATTGTGCTTACCTATACTCTTACGATCACGAAAACAGCTATAACTATAGATACTGCTGCTTCTACAGATGATACAACAACTACTATGCTATAAATTAACATTGACTAAAGAACAGGAGGAGAACGCATCTTGATCAATTTGATATCTTAGGGTCGCACCCACCTTAAACGTCTGAGGTTATCAGTTTGCCAGCCGTTCACGTCACGAATCAGGTGTAAATTTTATTCAATATAATAACCAAGAAGTTTTTGTTTGAGAAATCGAAGAAATTGGGTACATAATACATTAGACCACGTACACAAAAGATATTCGAACCTCCACTGAACGTTTTCCAATACGTTCCATATGCAATTCAACCCCAATACGAGCATTGCAGAGCTCATTAGACTTTTGCTGCAACTGCATGCTTCCTTGGCATCAGTTTTACATATTAAGTAAAGTAAGAAACCACGCAAGGCTCAAATGGCAGTTCTGCCCCCAACCAGGTATTTTCGGTTTGCCTCTCGACGACAAACGATCACGTGACATGGGAAGCCATCTTGGCGTGACTGCTTACACTGGTTCCACCTTCACTTGCACACCATCGCTCTCGGCACCCGTGGGCGCAATGAAGCGCAGCCGCATCTGCAGCGCCGGTCGCAGACGCTTGATCACCTTCTCTGTCTCCGGCTGCAGAAGATCAAAACAAGAGCGTTTGTTACCGTGTCTGCCAGCTTTGAGCTTCATGCATTCCCCACACTGCACTTACAATCGTTATATAGATATAAGTAGAATAAAAATGAATTCATGAAAAGTTAAAAAAAATATATGTCAAAATATATTTCTAAATAAATCCACAAACTACAGATTAAATCTTTTGCTATACGTCATGATTAAACCGAACTACACTTCACATATGACAATCAAATCCGAATGCAACGTATATGACACGAACGAATACAATGTATATACGTATATACGAATACATATATATGAACGAATACAACGTAGTCTTTCTTAAGTAGCGAGTTTATAATGAAGGAAGCACAGGGCGCCTTTAGTGTAACACTAGGTGCTCAAAAGTGACACCGGGACTGAGGAAAACGGGGTACCTTAGCTCCGTAGCCGATAAACATGTACTTGATGTGGTAGAGAAGGTCACAGATGGGATCCATGTGGTATAGATGCTCGTTCAGCTTGTCTATCTTTTCTAGCATCTCATACAGACTAACAGACAGCTTAAAGGGAAAAGTCAAAGGCCTTCTTACTTGATGATTGAATAATCCTTAATTTGGATCCAACTGAGATAAACTTTATTAGCAGGACTTCTTACTTATTCAGATCAGTATGGCCACCGGCACAGTTAGCATATGCTTGTTATGTTCAGTTCATGATCATTAGAAGTTCACAGAATATCTCTTCACCCGAGAAGAGAGACGAAGTGATGATACCTTAAATAGAGGATTTAGATACGTGGAGACACACAACAGATGCTCATGGTTTAGCTTTACACAAGTGAAACCATGTAGAACGCAGTGACCAGAAAGTACGACATTCAGTTCATACTGGGACTTCTGACTTGCGATGTAAAGGAGAGACTAAGTGAGATGAGGAAAGAGTAGTGGGTGCTTACATCAAGGAGGCAGCGAGTCCTCTCCTCACCAAAACGCTGCAGGAATGGACCGACCAGGTGGCACACGTACAGGAACTGAGCCTCCGACTGCACGGCTGCCATCATCTGGTCCTTAATCAATCTGCAAGGAAGCAGTTCAATAACCTTCCTAAATGTGCTTCATCACCACACGGCAAATTCACCACTACTGACTAAAAACAAGGGAACCCTTGAAGGTACTTACATAACATTGGATGGCTTTGAGGGGGATACCACAATATTATATCGTTCTGTCGAAAGCAATATATACTAGTGTCGCCGAAACAAAAAGGCATCTAAACTAATTATTATTTATATCTTGGTCTTACTTTAGGAAACTTTCCGAGTCTGGCAAATTCCAATCTCAAGGTACTAGAGGCAGCTATTGCAGTTTTGATTCAGAGTATAGCAAAGTTTGCCAGATGAGAAAGCAATAACAAACTATTATTCCCCTCTTATCTGCATGTCACCAAGCATAGGTACAGTATGCATATTTAACTCTAATTTACAAAAGTCAGATATAACGACTAATCTTGATTAGTCTTGATTATCTACTAAACTCTAACCCAACCTAACTTTCAAATGGTAGGTGAGTAATATGTACGAAAATGTTTTAAACTCATTTCTACACATACAATAGTCATATTCAAGATCTAGTATCTATACAAGATTAAATGTACATATACACAGCAGAATAAATAATTAGCAACAGCACAGAAACAAAGGGTAGAACACCGTGTGTCTTAGTATGACAGAATTCAGCAAATCAGTAAAGTAACAGCAAACAATAAAATTAATATTTACGTCTGGCAACTGGCTAACAACTACTAACCATAATAAAAAATGTACTGTCAAAAATAACTGTATTTGTGCATTTTGGCATAGATGTTTTTACGATAGAACACTCGTTACTACTACCAGATGGTACTACCTGTCCGCTAATGCTTACTGTGGTATGATGCTCAGCTGTCCGATGCTGCAGTGGTGCCAGACCATCTGTGCTTGTCCGAGCAGGTAGGCACCGTACACCTGACCGGCGGTCAGATACATGGTCGAGTAGCGAAACACGTCGAGGCTGACGACGTCGCCATCTTGTGGCAGCCGTTGGATGTACTCGATCAACCGCGTATGCAATGTCAGACGAAAACTGTCCTGCAAAATGGTGAAATCGGGACGCAAGCGTTAATCACATACAGTAACATGGACGCAGAGTGTGGGAGTGTGGGGAAAGGGTGAGAACCAGTGCTGCAATACCAAAGCAGCATGAGTCATGACAGGACCGCGATCACTAATCGTACAGCAAGATGCTAACACATGAAGCGTATACATAAAAAGGCAGCTTTATTCGGTATACAGGAACCCGATAGGCACGTCCCCACACCCAAAGCCAAACTCTTTCTCTTTCTCTCTCTCTCTCTCTCTCTTCACTTCTTTCCTACACCGTTCGCTGACTCATTTATATCTCAAGCCTGCTCGGTTCAGAACCACTTGTCTACCAGGTCTCGCCTGCATACATACATACACACATACACACATAGTTACATACATACATACATTCATACACACATACATACATGCATACGGTTGACATACTCAGGGATATATGTCCTTGTCCACATGCTACACGACAGCACTGCACTACGGAGCATTTTATCTCAAGCAGCTGCCTGTGCGATAGCATCAGCGCAAGTAACACAAGCAGTGAGAGTGATTATAGGCAGCACTTACCGGCAGCGAGGTGAGGATGAGAGCGATGGCGTTCATCCAGCTCTCGATGTTGTGCCCAATGCTCTCCTTACGAACTGTTGGGTTGCTACAACAAACAACTGCAAATGCACGCCTGCAACACTGACATTAAAATCACACTACAGGGGCGTAGCCAGGGGTGATTCCAGGCATTCCGGAATCCCCCCGGGTTTGTATCCAAATAGCACATATCTGATATAGTATGTATATAAAAGCATGAAACGAAAATTTTAATGAAGTTTTATTAGTATATAGTAGGTTTGGAATCCCCCCTCTTGGAAGGAATCCCCCCTCTTGGAAGGAATCCCCCCTCTTGGAAAGGCTGGCTACGCCCCTGCTGACTATATCGGAATAATAAGCCGTGCTGTAATACTTCAATTTTAAAAAAGCACATATACGAGCTGGCTACTCTGTTGTTAACGCTGATTCTAGCCAAATGCCACTTAGAACAACGAAGGAACATCGAAAATAGTTGGCACCAGGGGCACAACCTAAACTAATATATCCAAAATGCAACATTTCACGATCACCGAGATAAGACTGCAGCAAAAGCTACTGAGCAACACTACAATGAGTGGCAGCCGTTCGCTTGCTCTCGCCGGCAGCGCCACCTACCTGCGCAGCACGACGTCCAGTAGCGCGTTTCCGACGATCTCGCTGCTCACCGGCAGACCCATCAGCTCGACGCAGGTGCAGTGCAGCACGTGCGCCGCCACGTTCGGAAACTCATTGAAGCGCCAGTCTACAGACGTAGCAATCGCGGGCTTTTGCCGCGCCTCGGGCGCCAATCCTCCCGGCTTGCCCTCACTGCTCTGCTGCTGCCTAGTGTCCCCACCTGGCATCGCGGGTTTACTGGACATAGCTGCGTTCGCGTCAGGGATGTAGATAACCAGTGTCTTCTGAAATTTCTTCACGACGACCACTTAACTTTGTCGTCACACTCACACGTGTTTGATATGCGATAATGTTAACGATGACTAATAACTACGGTACATGCACATCATACAAAAACTTTTAAGGATACTATTTACAAGTCTTTCCACCAAGTGGCAATAGTAATCAAGGTCAGGCGTCCACTCAATCTCTTCCAAGGGGCGCTGCATGTACTGAATGTAAGGGTCCGTAACGTAGCCTCTATCTGGTTGCTCGTAGTCCATCAAGGCACCATAAACCGTCGACAGCAGTTTCTTTTTCAGTGCTGGTCGGTCCCTTAACTCTTTCTCATAGTAGTGGAGTGTGTTGTACAAGTATGTCACGGGCCGATCTGAAATGTTGTAAAGTTACAAAACAAAATCACACCATGAACTGGAATATACGGATAAAACACGGACTAGTCACGGAAATGGTGCAAAACGCACGGAGAGCTACGGAATATTCCGGAGCTAATTACAGTTCGTAGCAAAATTCACGGACTCCTACGTACTAACCACGGACTGCCAATTAAGAACTGTCTAATCTCGGCGAGTCCGTGTTTATTACGTACGGTACATAATCCGTGTTTTTTTCAGCCAGCGTGGCGCCCACACACCAGCAGTTGGAGCATCACCATGCCCGACAACTTGCAAATGTAATTTCATGATGACGTTACACTCCCTGTGCCCAACTATCCCTGGTGGAACACTCACCGTGAAACTTATATAGACCGCCAAGACAGTCGAGGATGGCTTCGAGGGATTTCGACTGCACTGGCGGCAGTTCCAGAAAGCGATGTACGACCAGGTCCAACACCTGCCAAGGACACACACACACACACATGGAATCACACGAACCATCAGGGTCTACAACAGCAGCTGATACGCTAATGCTGACACCAGCTGTGTGGCTAAGTCAGTGTTATTTAAAACCATTTCAGCCTGTAATTAATTGCCAACGAGTATATTATAACACTTCTTGGTGTGTAGTTTCATGATGAGTGTTGAATGTTGTCTTTATCACTTTTCTTTTAACACTACACGAGAACGCCACGTACCGGCAGGAACCTTAGGCAGACATTACTGTAGTAGACAGGCAGACTCTGTGTCTGCGATGGCGCTAGCTCTCCCAGCCAAAAACGCTCTGGGTATTTCGAGTGGTAGGCAAGATGCTTCTCGTGCCAGTTTGACTGCAGGCAATGGTCCGCTGAATTCTACACAAGGAAAGTGTTCGCACTGATCTTTAATTCACACGCACAGCGACAACGCTGTTAAGCCATGAGTTGCTTGCTACCCGGTTGTTGCTGCATGTGCACAACAGAAGTGCACTTTCTCAATTTTCTCAATCCACCAAACACAGCCGTTGTTGCCCGACAATTATTCATTAATTAATTTTTTTATTTGCTATTTACTGGTGGTCTAAAATTGACAAAAGATGCTAAAGATGCCAAGGTAATGCCTTTAAATGAAAGTACATAGGTCCGGCAACAAGGGCATGGTGCATGTTATCTCAATATCCCACTTTATATAAAGCTGATGTGACAGCGGTGGAAAAACATACCTCTTTCACAAAGTCATTGACTCTGTTTCTAAACTCGGCCGGTTTGATCAGTAACAACCTAATGACAAGGAAACAGACTGGTGCCTCGTTGCCCTCAAAGCTACGTAGTGCCTGAAACACATGTAAAACAGTACCTGTAATAACAGAAACAGTCGCAGCACCTGGTAGCTGACAGAATGCCAACTACGTAGTAAATGATTTATGTTTAGAAAATTGAATAAAATATCCTGCAAGTCTTATTCGTTTTTCTATGTGATAAATTTTTGGGCCCACATAGAATCTTCACATGTAGCCTACTCCTCCCCCTGAACACACGGAATCACGAGGTTTTGATCTAACATTATAGCATGCTATCACTACTTTAGTTACTGGAAACCATCACGGCAATGGTGAACAGACAGAAACTCACTAAGCACAGAATGAGACGATCTAGAGTTACAACGTTGTACTTCCAGATGAGATCGCTCAGTGCCTGAATGTTGTTGTTCATCTGCTGACTCTGAGAGGTGGCGCACTCTAGTACCAGGAAGTCGCAGAACATACGCAGGTGAGTAGCGAGCTGCCGTGGTCCGATGCGTTCCAGTACTTTGTAAGCAAATGGCGTCATCCTCTCTCCATCCAAGATCACCTTCCAGAGGATGCTGGCCGGGGTTTCACAATATTGTTAGTCTTTTATTGTTGTTCTTATCACTATCATCACTATCATCACAACCACACTATCATCACTGTCATTGTCTTCATCTTCATTGTCATCTTCAGCATTATCACAATTTTATTATTACAATTTATTATACAAATACTAATTTTAACTCACACAATTAGTATTCATCATCAGTGACCCGCTATTCTATAACGTCAGACTGACAGTAATCTGACTTGAATGACAGGCATGTGATCATCAGTCACTTTGCTACAACACAGCTGCTGATCGAACTACTACTATCTGTAGATTCGTTCTCATCATTTATTTAATTGACATTGGTTTACTTGCAGGCGAAAGAACATATTATTGTGCCATGTACAGCAGTCCCATTAAAGCTACCATACTACTGCTTTACACAACACCTTATTATGATAAAATAAATAATGAGCATGAATCTACGGGTAGAAACAAACTAACAGTATTTACCACAGAAATATAGGTGGAGTACTCTGGTGAGAGAAATGGTTGATGATGTCATTCTCGTTGTTCATCGTTTTCCATTTCTGATATTCATGCTCGACTGTTCTTTTCAACTGCTGCTTGTTTTCCTGAGACATTTATACAATACTTGTCTAACTGATGCGACATTTACTCAGCAGATATATGTTCAGAATCTTGCAGCTTTGTCAATGTATTACATATCTAATAATTGTATAAGCTACTATCTAATGTATGCATGACTAACGACTTCAAATAACACACAACTTAAAGCACCAAATCTTAGCATGGGACGCGAGGCACATGAGCGCAGTTAGTTGAAAACAATGCTCAGCAATAAGCACGAAACTTCTTAGACAAAACATGCTCCTTAATAACGCCTAGTAAAGCACACGTCCGTGCAAGGCCAAGGTACCTTGGGCACGTTATATTTCTGGAAGAAGTCGCTCAGTATTCCAGGGAAGCAGTGCAGTGTGTGTGATGACCAGCTGTGGGGAGTGTTCGTCATGATCGTAGTCAGTATGTCCATGCACCAGCTGCCAGACATGTTAGCTGTTCCTGTTGTAAGCATGAGAATGTACAATCACTAACAGCATTGGGTACATAGAAGACAGAACAGTTATAGATTGCAACAGATGACAGTCAGGAACAGCAAGAAATGACAAAACAACAACAGTGACAAACACTAGTATACGACATAACAGTCACAGCCAGCAGTAACGGAGAGAACAGTCACAAAAAGCCATAGACGAACCTGCAGTAGCAGCAGCAGCAGCAGCAGCAGTAGCAGCAGCAGCAGCAGCAGTAGCAGCAGCAGCAGCAGCAGCAGCAGCAGTGGCAGCAGCAGCAGCAGTAGCAGCAGCAGCAGCAATGTTACCCTTTACTTTTGCATGTAACATCACACATTATGATCCAAAATTAATGTCACTGTTTTTGCCATTTCAATATAACTTGATACTATGCAGTCAATGTTTGCATTAATTCACATTCCGTCATTGTTACTGCTGCTAGCAACAATGTCACCATCACTTACATTGCTAGCATACATGCCTACACCTACCTGTGATGTGCATGGACCTAGCTAGTGTTAACACCAGTGCTCTGTTCAACTCCTCACTGTCTGAACACAGACTGACAGTCTTTGGTTCGCTGAGATAGCGCGAGAGGACTGGCTGTACCTCAGCCGAGCCTAGGCCTGTGATCAACCTTAGTGCAGTATTCTCCACACTGCAACAGCAACACATGAACAACTAAATCCCACACTGCAACAGCAACACATGAACAACTAAACCCCACACTGCAACAGCAACACATGAACAACTAAATCCTACACTGTCACAGCAACATGCAAACAACTATTCCACTGCAGTCCACACTGGCACACTGTAATAGCAACATGCACACACGCATAGGCCCACGCACATGCACACGCACACGCACACACACACACCCATACAAGGACATTTTAATACTGATTTTCAACATCACGCATCATTGGCAATCCTATGTTGTTGCCTACCTGAGGTGGAACTGCACCTGGTTTGCTTGTGGCCTAGCAGCCATAGAGTGCAGGTTACTGAGTAACTGCACGCGAAAGTGAGCTGGGACATGGTACAGCCTGTAAGCAAACATCTCTAACAGGGTGTTTATGATGCCATACGCATGATGCTTGAACACTGTAGGCAACAATTTACCTGCAGAAAAATTATGAAAATGTTACGAACCAATAATTAGTACATTTTAGGACTTATTTCACGAAATGATATTCTGCCATTGATGTTTGTCATTTGTGTACATAATTATTGCAGTATTTATGATTTATTATATATGCTGAAGAAATGTGACTTAATTAAATTGGGTCCGCGAGTCAATAAAACATTACACCTCTGTTTACAATGATTGTAGCAACACAGTACCTATGAACACTTTGATGCCCGCTGTCTCTACCTCAGTGTACACAAGCAAGCGACTGTACGTTTCCACAAGTGCTGGCGAGAGAGCCAGGGGCGACTTAGATGAGGCCAGTTGTATGATATGCACAACGACTCCATTGATAAAACTGCAAGAAAATAGAAACAATTAATTTCCTGCGTGAAAGCAAGGTGAGGCAGAATCTATAAAGATTACCAGGCTGTTTGAATATCTACTATCGGTTGAGCAGCCATTATCGAAACTAGAGTAAAAGGTGGAGCAATAGTGCCAATTTGTTTGCCAATCAATACTATCTAAAAACTCACAAGGTGCACACACAAAATATGAAAGCATCTCTCTTGCTAGATGTCTATATTTTTTTACAATTTGACTTGCCACTAAGCTGTAAATTTGTTTTTAAACTCATATGTTGCGGTTTCCATCATAGTGCTATACTCAATACGCCCTCCTGGGTTGGATGCATCAAACCCATACATCAATGCCAACCCTTCCACTGCTACTCATATTAAGCTAATTAAACTGCAGCAAGCAACCCACTGTGCTCCGCCATAACATCCAGCTAAGTGTGCATGTTATCAGTACCCATCAAAGGGTAGGTACAGCCATTCGTGCATCAGAATGCACTCATATACCATAGTACGGAGCACACAGAGGACAGTCAGCATAAAGCGATCAACTAGCTGCTGTAGACAGATTGATAGCATGGCCGACCACGTTAAGTACTGTGTCACCTGAGTTTAGTGTGTACGGTCAGAGAGTCAAGTAGAGTGATGGGTAGAGGCTGGGCGGGTCCTTCGGCAATGCAGTTTTGCCCCGGCATCTGTGCGTTCTGGTGATGCTTGTATGTACTCTCCAGAAGCATTGTCATCGGCACCGAGAACAACTCGCTCTGCTGCCCATCTACGCATTCAAACAATAACCTTCCATCATGCATTTGCAGGAAGTACCATGCACCGACTTGCATCGCAGCATGCTAGTGTGCAAGCGATTACAGTCAAACCTATGTATATTCACTGTGTAACTGCCATCCAAGGGAAAGCCCAAGCATACTTTTTAGACTGGTTTCCATTATGTATGCATGCACAGGTCGAACCGAACATGCAAGTCACCATATTTGGTTGAAATTCAATTGCCAGTCAGAATTTTACAAACGTGTAGTGACTGTCACTTATATCCCATTATATCAAGCAGCAATATCCCACTTTTACAGAAAATCATTTTATTCATACAAAGATGATACATTAGATACATTCACATCTTCAGAAACTCTCTCGTGCAGCAGATGTATCGGCTGCTCCTGTTGTCACAGAGAAACAAGAGAACACTACACTTACATGCATTACATAGCAGTGCCACGCGGTAGTCCAGCGTTGAGATGTTCTTCTGTCGCAAACTCTGCTGGAGAAACCTACAGAAGAAAACACTGGTCATACCACCATTGTTACACTAGATCCGCAGTCAAACACACCGTATTATGTGCACCAAAGCCACCAATACAAACTAGCGACAACATAAATACATGCAGCACACAATTATCAAATGCCCAAGTCTTCATACTCAATCTGGTTCTTGAGCGCGTTTGGCAGCGCACGTGGCAATCTGGCATTTTCTGGCGCTTGTGGTTTCTTGTTGAGCAGGAACATCCATATGCTTGCTGCTGCCATCTGCTGGACACACCGTGCATTCGTGACATCGGGGATAGGTAATATATCACGTTCCGGGTAGAGCAAGTCATACAGACGTAGCACCGGCAGAAACTCGGACAACTGCAAACAAACATACCATTTTCAAGGTCTCTCGTGACTCTTGATTTATCATCAGTGACTGTGGGTACAAGCATCCACCCCATCTGACCACCTTAAGATGGGGTGTCCACAAAGTCCCAAATTGCATCATCCAAGTTTCTAATAGTAATCTCTATGACACTCTGCTTCTTTCACAATACATTATAAATTGCCTGATTAAACATGCATTGGCAACAATGGCTTGGGTACAATGGCTTTGGTAGTTTCATAAAAGAATTGATGTGTTAGATGTTGTTGCTACCATAACAACTCACCGGCTGTTTCTGAATGCTAATGGAGATATATTGTAGCAGGAGCCACATCAGCTGATCACGGCCTTTGGTCATGTTCTTGTTGGCAAGCTGCCAGGGAATGTAAAGCAATAACTTATTATGGTTCCATAGAAATGTTCTGTATAGTTCTCATATAAGTTAACAAGATATCTTGAGATTTTACATGTAACATAAATCAATAGATAAGATCCAATTGCAAAGAATTTCATCTCTACTAGCTTCTTACATACTTCCCTGGCATTTCTAGTAGCTAAACTGGCTACTCATAGCTAGTCAGTTACATAAAATCCAAGGCTTTGAGATATTACCATTAATACATGGATCTATTATTGACTGTGATACCATACCTACACACTAATATCATCCTTGCCTGTGCACGCAAACTAACTGCTATATGCTTAATCATTAAGTTACTAGTAACATTAGTAATGCAGCCGAAATCACATGACTATATCTTGCTGGTGCATGTTCACCTTGCCATGAAGAGCAGTAACAAGATCTGGGAAGCTGATAAACTGGAAGAGGAAGAAGAAGACCATGTTGCTGGAGAGGGTCTTCCACAGTGTGTTCACATACTCCGCATCAGAATCGGACCTTTCCATCGCCGTGACGATAAGCTCTGTGAACTGCTCCTCTAGAGTGATGCTCCTCATCTGATGCTGCAGCAGAATTGAAGATATATTACTATCTAAGTAATAGAATTACATGATGCTTATGAAGCACATTGATGGCTGCAGAAGGTTGTACACCTATTACATACATAATTGTATATTAAATAAAAGCTTGTGTGTGTGTGCGTGCGAACGTGCGTGCGTGCGGCTGTGTGTATGCATACGTGCATGCGTGCCTGTGTCTGTGTATCTGTTTGTGTGTCTGTGCATGTGTGTATGAACCCATATACGAGGTAGCTGTTGAAAATGCTTAGACTTATAAGTAATCACATCACTATTATTTAGCAATCTTGTGTAAATAACTACAATACAGACTGTTTAGACCAGTGCTAACCTGCTTACTGATCCCTAGCATGTTGCAGATCATGTCCCGTGAGTACTGCTGCTCCAGAACATACCTCACTAGTGCCCGCAACGGTTCGTATACTTCCTGAAGCAAAAGATACGACGTCTAAACATGCTAGACACGTCCAACCGAGTCCAAACACGCCTCGGACGACATAATGTGTGCGTCCATCGCTAGTGATGATGACCACTGACACTCCTTAAGGTTGGTTTCATATGTTGTGCTTCCGTAGATGGCTAATGAGGCTTATCCGAGCACTGAACAGTCTCCCACACAAGGCCGTATGCAGCAGGGGGGCAGCAGGGGCAGTTGCCCCCCCTAGAGATTTTCAGAGTATGCCTTTTAATGGGACAAATAGGGCAATAGAGGGCGTGGGGAGTACCTTTGCCGCCCCCCTACAGAAAATTTCCTGTGTATTTGCCCCCCTACAGAAAATTTCCTGCGTACGGCCTTGCTCCCACAAGATGGGCAGGTGTGATGAGAAGTTGCAGAGATAACACTGCTGGCTGCACGCTTATTTCGTAGGCGTCGCTTTTCCTCTGCATCAGCTTTACGTTTCTCTTCAGCCTGTGTGGCTCCCAGACTAATGAGCCCACGCCAAGTTGGGCAATCTTGGGCAGTTTGCTCCCATGTTGCTGTGTTGATGCTAAAGGACTTCAGAGAGATCTTTAGTGTATCCTCGGACGACATACAGATGGTAGTAATGGCAATGGTGTTAATTCGCTATGACCGAGGCACACAGTAATCACAGAAATAAAAAAAACAAATAACGGAAGCCTACCTTGTCATATGGCAGGCTTCCACGAATCGGGAATCGTAGCGATGTGGGATCCAGTTTCCAAACATTCCCAGCCTGAACAGCATAGCCAACCACAGGCAACAGCTTGTTAAGTGCTGTTAACAGAATAAATCAGCATAGTTTACATACTTACTGCATGCATATTACACATCTTTTTGTGTATATACTTGCATACATATATAAATCATTTGCATGGATATATTAGGAGTAAATCAGAGGCTCATTTTCAAAAGCATCACAAGTAGTTATGACAAGTCTAAAATGTTACAACTTTTTAAAGTGAAGTGTCGTGCAAACGTTATGTCATTTGAGACTTATAATAGCTGTAAGTACTTATCTTTCTAACCACGGTCCCAGCGTAATAGTATAAATGCAAACACTAGTACAGATATAAGTACACAGGGCTTGACTCACCACTGCCTGCCATTGTGACCATCTGTGCAGTCGGCTTGAAGCTGTCCACAAAGTCAGAGAACAATTTTCCAATCCTCTGTAAATGCAAAATATCCAGCACTGACCAATGTTTATAACAGAACTTGAGAGTGAAGAGGCAGCTGCAATGCTTAGAGAGCACCATGCACATAAACTGCTGAATAGGATTCTATTTTCATACCAGAACTTTGTGTGTCTGTTCTCTATCTTAATTGCCTTAATGATAAGTTAATAATCATGCCCATCTACACACACTCAGCTATAGAATCTTATCCTAACATGCAACACTATTTCTCATGCATGACAAGTATTACATATATTCTTACTTATAATTGTTCATGTAAAATTAACTGCTATATCAGAATAGAACTGCTACTTCCTCACCCAATGTGGCCACTTCTTTCCTTCTGGAAAGAGTTTCATGATCTCCGTGACAACAAAGTAAGCAGGAAGCAGGCAAGCATTCCTATCAAACACGTATGCCAGCACCTAAAGCAAGTGGCAACAGGTGATAATTTGTGTTATGTGTTGACTTATTTCACGTCACACCTTAAAGAATTAGAAAGCGTTTCACATCAATGAATATTAAATGCAATTATCTTCTTTTCTAAATGTTGCTTAGGCATGGTTCCTACACACACACACACACACACACTACTCACTATGACTTTAACTAGAAAGTGATTACATGTACACCTTCTAAACCTTGTAATGGGAGAAAGACAGACAGCGCTAGAGAGAGAGGGCACACAAGAGAGTTAGAGCGAGAGAGAGAGAGAGATATATATATAGAGAGAAAGAGAGCAATAGAGAGAGAGAGAGAGGAACAGAAAGAGGGAGAAAGAGCTAGACAGATAGGGAGAGATAGGGATAGGGAGTGAGGGGGAGAAAGAAGGAAGAGGGAGAGAGTGTGTGTGTGTGAGATGCTAAAATAATTGAGGAAGGTATTAACAAAGAAGGCATGACATGATCCAAGGTACAAACACAGGGGGTAAATGTACTTACATTTTCAACTGCATCTATCTGAGTGAGTACGGCGACATTGACAACAGCCGGAACATTTTGTAGGCGACTAAACAGCAGCTTCAGCATGTCCCGCACACCCTGTAGACAGATTGCACCCTTCTAAGTTATCAACAGATATTATTTTATACGGGTGAAGATCACAAGAATTACAATAAATTTCTACCAGTTGGCAAATGCCGACATCTTGGCCCCACCACACATTCAATATCAAAAGGCTACACATTATTGTGCCCATTGAAAGCATGGCTTATAATTAGTATTAAGATTTACAAACCTCAATATTACAAGTCAATGATCTGACACTCCAACTAGGAACCATTGGCACATATCTTATAATGATACCCAATTTAGATTAAAAAAAGATTTGATAAGGTAATGGTTAACTTCTTTCTTTTAACATAACTAAATAATGATCAATTACTATATTTTATTCTAATTGCAAGTAAGAAAATATATTGCTAGATTCAATAAAAGCATGCCTTGTAGTCTACCCCTCCTATGATACGTCGCACAAGTTGAAAACATTGACACCAGAGGGCACTTGATTGGTATTGCAGCTTGTCACTCATCAGTATTGTCTCACAGACCAACCTAGAAATAAACGTGATTGAAGCTACAGGTGCAGATATATAACACATACATGTAAACATTTAATAAAAATGTGACTGTTGAATTTTAACATCAGACGATAAATAATACACATCAGATAATTCAATGACACGATATAAATGTATATATATATACGAAACCTTTTCAATGATTTTTAACACATTTTACTGAAAAACTTTAGTAAAGAGTTCCACTGGTAATAATAATTAGAGAGTTATACTTGGCATAGACTACATTATGCTCCACCAGGCCCTCCAAGACTCCAAGGAGCACCTGACTCCGCTGTGGGTTCACCTGTGTTACGGCATATGTTACCAGAATTCGTACTGCAAGCTCCACATTTTCCTGCAATGCCAATCCGACCATGTTAAAACCTTCTCCATGACAAAAAAAATTCATTCAATGCCCAAAGGGACATTTGCCTCACAAACGTTTTTTTATAATCTTCTATAATATTTTGTGTAATTCAAAAACCAGGAGGTTATTTTTGCAGAATTCAATTATTCTTCCATGCCCTGCCTGCCATCGAAGGTGTTGACGATTCTGCTGGTAACTGCCAGAGTGTTTGTTTACATCCCCAGTGGACCTGTTGAATCCTGATTACTATAGATTACTGGATATGAACCCAACCCATATCATGAGATCATCTGAGCTACACGGCTTTACCAGTCCCTAGGTTAGATAGGCAGGTATTTACACGCTAAGAAAATTTTAGATTATATTATCTAATATCAATTAATTATGTTGCCTATTAGTTTTACATTATATTGACATGTATTATGTATCAAATCAAATTACAATTAAGTGAATCAGTTTACCTGCCTTAAATTGAGGTGCGTTTTAATTTATTTTACTCTGAATGCCAAAACCACTAAGCAACCGGCCTGTGATACCGATGAACACAATATATGATGGACACACCGGGCCTGTCTGTGTGAAGAGGATCTGTCGCAGCTGCTGCACCGCTTGCTTCTGCATATACAGTTCATTCTCTTGGCTTGGAACAACGTAGCCCACGAACACATCACTGAGACTTTTCAAGTTCTAAAAAAATAACGCAATATATAGAGTATGATAATCAATGCGTTTATGTACTATTAATCAGCATAATATACGAGGTCAGGAGATTTAAATAGAATGAATAGTCTAGGTTGTCGAGGAGAGGAATATTTACTTAGAAACAAGTTGCGTCAGCAGGGGAGACAATCGTACCAGCCACGGAATCTGCGTGGGGAGTAGTGTTTTGACGACACGTACTTAACAACGGCGTGAGGTGGGGGCGTTGCCAAGCTACGTATACAGTAAAAACCCGCGTATAAGAACATAGATTTGTCCAAGTTAGCCTCAATATGTTCTTATGTAAATGGTGCTTACTGAAAAATTAGGCTCAAAAGGTTCTTAAATAGGTTCTTAATTGTTTCTACTTTTAATATGTATAAGCTTATACTTGATTCAAATTGTGTTAAATTTTTCTTACAAGGACTGCAATTTTTGCTAATTAATACCCATGATGGGCTACAGTGTAAGTTTTTCAGTGCTTACCATACTGTATGATACAGTATGTATACAAGTATGTAAAGGGAATAGGAGAACGAGGCTTCAGGTAGGTAGAACTACGGGTACCAGGAATAAAACAGGAAGGAAAGAAGAACGAGATTTCAGGTCGGTAGAGCCAGAAGCGACTACGAGAGAGACACCCTTGGAGGCTACCTAGGTCTACGCGAAGAAAGGACGACGGGGAGAGGAGAAGACGAAGACAGCGACGCGTTAATTCTTTAATATTAGTCTAGTAGTTAGTTAAACAACGTAACAGCGCTTCACGCTGCACTGATAATCGCAATAACGGCGAACCAGATAACTTATAGCGCAAGCTAAGTAGTGTAAGCTACAAATACGAGATAAATACAGATCCGCGGCATATACGAATGCAGGGGAATTATTCGTAAGCTAGTAAGAAACAATAAAACTATAACCGTACAGTTAACCAAATATAACTGTGTTCTGTTTTACTGGTACAACCTGTCATACGCTACTGCATCACCGTCCTGCCTAACGCCTAACGGCAAGAGTAAACAATGAATCCACACAACTAAACACGGGTTAACTATATAACGCCTGTCATACCGTAGTCGGCTACACTTGCAGCTAGGACCTGCATACCTCCCAAAGTTATACTCGGTCAGGTTTTTAACACATTCTAACTCTAAAACTGTTATGTTAAAAATTCTTAAAATATTTACATAAACAGGCAAGACGGTTGTCATTTTGAATACAAAGTTTTATTTCCTATCGTGGTTTATTTCAAAAGTTATATCAGCCGAAAGTTGCTACCACGCCTGCTAGATTGCCTGTGCCATATTGTCTATATTTGACCAGCCAGTGTTGCAATCAAGTCAAGGTAGCAAATTTCGGCTGATATAACTTTTGAAATAAACTATGATAGGAAATAAAACTTTGTATTCAAAATGACAACCGTCTTGCCTGTTTATGTAAATATTTTAAGAATTTTTAACGAAACAGTTTTAGAGTTAGAATGTGTTAAAAACCCGACCGAGTATAACTTTGGGAGGTATGCAGGCCCTAGCTGCAAGTGTCGACTACCCCCTAGTGCCACTACAGTACACTACACTAGTCTATAGAATACAATGTCTACACTACAGACTCAGTCTAGAATCTACAGTAGTCAGTACAGTATTATGTCATAACATTGATAATGATAATGTGTGATGTGAGATATGTGATGTGCAATGTGTGATATTGTTGATGTGTTAGTGTTGATAATGTGTTAATGTTGATAATAAATGTGTTACTGTTAATAATCATTAATGCCATTATATTTATAATCATAATAATGTAATTAATTATAATAATATTAATAATATTATTATTAATAATAATATTAATATAAATAATAATGTGGAATACCGGTACGCCAAATACAATAGCAAATTAGCATACCAATATTTCTTTAACGACATGGCCAATTTGCTCTTCAAGTGTCGCCATAATCACTCTAGACCCATATCAAGATTATCACGACGAGGTAGTCAAAATTACTCAAGAACGGGAGCCTAAATGTATCAATACAATCAAATTGTATCAATACAGTACTTTTGTGGGCGCTGCCATTGTGAGATGTTGCAATGGATGACGGGACGGGACCAGGATGAAAGGGGGCGCTGCTACCGTTGGTGGCACTTCCTGTTTGGGTGTGATAGAAGACGTTAAGTTTTCTGGCACAATTTTCAGGTAATCGTAGTTTTGCGCTTATATTTATATACTTTGACAAGAAATTTTTTCTTGTGACAGAAAGCAGAGATAGAGCAGCATTTTTAAATATAACTGTGTTCTGTAAGAGCCAATTTTCTCGTAATTTTACATATTTGATACATGACACTGACAGTGACTGATGTCTGATGACTCATGAGTCATCATTCCGACGAATTTCTGTGCTTGCCTTTATCTCTTACTCGTCTATTATAGACACATGTCTTAGCCTTAATCTCTGTGAATTTTGAGTCTATTGAAGCGTGATTAGTCTATTTAATTAGCAAATATGCACGCGCGTCTATGACCGGTGAAACGAATCGTCACAATCGAATTATATTTTTATCCGCCAATCACAGGTCGGAGCAATTCCTCTGTTTAGATGCATGTGTCTTAGTTAAGAAAGTTGGTGGTCCGCTTATTTACTAGCAGTGAGTAACAAAATAGTATACAAAAATAACCATTGGCATTAACAGCATACATGTAACTAGATACAATAATGTAACCAAAACCCGGGATAGGGTTACAACGCGTCGCTATGGTTTTCTGTGGAGGAAATTCAGGGAACCCCTGAGTGAATCACTCAGGGCGGTTTGCTGGTGCGTTTTAAGAGACTAGAACTTCCAAACTGGGTTTATTCTCAACACGAACCTTTCTCCGCTATCTTGGAACTTACTATGTATCACAATACTCTGTATTAAACTAATATAACCTGTTACAAAAATTCGAAGTGACGAGCGGCGAATAAACTAAGCGCCATTTCTGTTGACCTGTGACGTACTTCGGTTTGAAGAGGGGATTCACCGACCAATCGGAGGGCGCTGCATTTGCCGATCGCTATGCGCATTGGGAATGCGTACGTCACCCCCAGATACGTCAGTGAGATGGGTTTCCAAAACTATCATGATAGTGCTGATGTTGTTTGGGCTCAACTTGATTAGCTTCCTCTTTTTTTGTCCACTTTCTCCATGCTAAACTTATAACTTTCTATAAAATTTATAATGGCCAGGTGAAGATTGGCCTGTTCGTTGCACTCGATTGTCTGAGTGTGATCATTGCTTTCGACATGTGCCATCTTCTAAGGATCCCTTTAAGTTTAGCTTATTTGTTTCTGTCATTCCGTATTGGAATTCTCTCCGTTTGTTTTTAGTAAATTGCAAATTTGCTGCTTTTTCTATTGCGATCCACGGTGTTGATCTGTCTATTTGAACAACTTGTCTCTCTGTTGTCGATGTAGTCCCTTGGACTTTGAAGACTATTACTTATGAGGTTACAGTATACCCTACAACCTACTAGTGACAGTGCGTCTGGAAGTGCACTGTATGTTGTTTTATGTGGTGCAGATTTTATACTGTACTGTACCCCTATTATTATAAATAGATATGTATCATAGTTATTACCTCCGCCAGGGGCGTGGCGGAGGTTATGTTTTCACCGGCGTGCCATTGAGTGTTGATATGTGTGTGTGTGTGTTACCATGCACGTTTC